AAATTGTGTAAGGTTAATGATTTGTGTGTGGCAATTAAAATTTCATCTAAATGTCTTGCATGTGGGAATGAGGTCTTGTAGTGCAGCCAAGGATGACTAGCTTGTTAAGCTTGTTTTGGCATCATTATGACCACCTACTCATGCCATGCTATGTATCATGTTCCTATGCTTACTAGTTGGCCGACAAGTCAACTCTGGCTACACAAAGGCCTCTTTCTTCCATGCTAGATATTTGATGAACTATTATTAGTGTTGGACATGCACACTGATAGATAGTCGAGAACTATATGACATAATTTGGAAGAGTTCTTTGTTAAAGCTGCTAGAATTTATTTCATTTGAGGTTTATATCCATTTCTTTGTTTGTTTTAACTTACAAAAATTCAGGTTTCACTTTGAATTTCCCTTAAATTGTGCCAATGTTTCAAGCCAAGGTTGTTACAATTTAAAATCTCTTAAATCACAGTGTAATGTTATGAATGCATTGATTGCCATCTATGATTTTTTGTTGGTTTAAATATACTGATTAAGTCCTTCAAATCTTATGAATTATTTCATTTTAGTCTTTGTTTGTATTATTTTTTTTCCTTTTTAGTTTTTGACATCTATTTGTTATAGAAACTAAAAAATAAATATGAAATTATAGAAAATAAAGAGTATATATAAAATTTTAAAATTATAAAAAAATATTTTTAATTATGAAGACTAAAAGTAAAGTTTATGAAACATAAAAGTTAAATGAATATTTAAACTTTTATTTTTGCATTTCATGTTTAGTTTCTTAGCTGATTTGTGTTATGTATATAGAAAGTTAACTTATTGTTCAAATTATTGGATTGATTAGTGTAAAGATACACTGTCAGGTACGTAAAGAAGTACTAGTTACACATTTTTTTAATTGGTTGAAATTAATTAACAAATATAAAATTTGGTAAATATCACACTCATTTTAATAAATTTTTTTATTTTAAAGATTTCAATAAATTATAATCGAAAAGTGAGTGTATTAGGTGAGATGTGTTATTATCGGACTTTTTACATATACTACATTTGTAAAGTTTTGTTAGTTGTATTTTGTTGGGTATTTTTAGTTGGAAGTCAAAAAATAATCCTCGAATGAGATCATTTATATCTTCTAACAACAATGTTTTTCCATCGGATATTATTGTTTGTATCTATTGGTTAGTGATTACTTATAGCAACTGTTTGTTGCAATGTCTACAAAGCTACAGTATTGGCTTTTGTGATGCTAACACCAATTTCATGGTAGTTCTCCATGGCCAATAATCTACAGGCTTAGGTTTCACAAATTTGGAAGAACACAGAAAAGTGAGAATGGAAATCATGAAGAATACAATTCCATTTTGATGTCTTAGAAGGTACCAATCATCGTTATCTTTTATTTCTTTTTAGTGGGAATGTGGGATGCAAATGCAAATGGCTTGAATTAATTGGAAAAGAACGCATACGATGTGATGTAATATGAATCACTATTTTTTTTTACACCAATAAAATCATAGTCTTTGAATTAAAATAATAGGAATATGAATCGCTATTTGAGAACAAACAAGACGAGGCATGAAATTTGAGGCGGTTAATCCGTCGACAACTATATAAACCCAATACAATGTTTAGCGCAGACACTGAATATTTGATTTGTGGCAGTAAAAAAGGACCTTACTTATCATAAGAATTAAATAACTAATTCAATACGATTAAGAAATGTTTTTTATTTTTTATTTTTAAAGATATGTTTATAATTTTTACATTTTTTAAATTACTCATAAATTAGTGACACATTTAATGTACATTTTCAAAATTTTTGTATTACAAAAATAAAAATAGGAGATTATTTGTATTTTAAGAAGCATACATTAAATAAATTTCACTTATTTCTTGAACTTAAAAATGTATTTAATAAAAACATTTTTGTAAAGTAAAATTAATGTTTATAAATTAAGTCTTATAAAAAGGAATGAATTAATTTAAAATTTGGATAATAATACATACTCTATTTCATAATAATTTTTGTTTTTATTAATATTTTTTTGTTAAAAATGATACAACATATAAATCTTTTAAAATTATACTTCTTTCATTTTATAATAAGTGTCGTTTAAAGAAATTAAGTCTTAAAATGGATCATTTTAGTTTTAATTATCTCATTCTATTTGTATCCTTCATAATATTTCTTTTAAAAGAATATTATTGCATTATATTATTTCTAATAATGAATAAAATTATTAATAAAATTAATTTTATAAAGTTTTTATTCTCTTTTACATTTATTGGTGGCATAAAAAAAACTAAAGATGACATTCTATATAATGAACACTTAAATTTTTTTTTACATATACTGACATACAAAAAGTGTCACTATAAATACAAAATATATATCAATATAAATCTATTTAATGTATAATTATACATAATTTTAATATTTATTTTGAATAAACTCAACAATATGTGTTAATATAATCTATATCTACACTTTTTAACAATATATCAATATATATTATATTTATAATATATATAAAAATATTTTTTTAATAACAAGGATTGTAATATTGTATGACAATTTTTTTTAAATGAAAAAAAAGAGAATAATATTAAAAAGAGGTAATCATTTCATATAATATATATCAATCACATGATATCATATCATATCAAAATCAAATTTACCTATATCTGATAATTATGCTACTTAAACAAAGAATTAGGATTGAAAACAAAGGCCCTTCGTTGGATCGGTGGCATTGATACAACACTTCGAGTAAAGATTTTTCTTTTAAGTATAGTTTCATACGATGTATACATATTTGGACTTAGTTTACATCCAATGGCACTACAAAATGAAATTAATTCGAGTGCACTAATAATATAATTTTGGCAAAAATACATTTTTTTGTCTCTTATATAATTTCTTAGTATTAATTTAGTCCTATTTTAATTTATTGAATCAATTTAGTCTCACATCTTTAAAATGTATCTCAATGTTTGACCTTCTGTTTCCTCCGTTTAAATACTTAATAGATCTGACACGTGTCATGTCATCATGTCACGTGTCATATCATGTGTCATGCCATGTGTCATGATGTTATGCCATGTGGCATGGTAACATGACATGTGACATGACACATATCACATCGTTAAGAGCGATTCCAATGGGAGTTGTTTGTTTCATGAAGCAACTCAAGCCCCAATTTCTTGTCATTGGTGGACTCTGATGTGGTAACATGAGTTGCTTGAAGAAGAAAGAGTTGCTTCCTCAAATAACCGTTTCTTACCAAATTTCAAACAGATCTTATTGAATATATTTGGGAACGTTTCAGAAATAATAATGATGAAAATTAATTTCGTATAATGTTTATGTATTTACTATTGCTTTATTTTATTTTTAATATCTACTTATTATGTATTTTTTCTCGTAATTTATTTTTTTTCATTATAGTGCAATTATCCTTTTCAATAAAAATTTAAATTTGGTTCATAAATAATTAATTAGAAAAAAATTTTAAAAGTTGAATTTCTTAAAGTTTCTTAACATTAGAGTAAATTTGTGTTTGAGTTGCTTAATGCTGATATGGCACAATAAGGACCACTTTTTTCATTTTTTAATGCATGAAACAACTTAAATGAGTTGCTTCCATTGGAGATGTCCTAAGTATTTAATCGGAAGAAACATAGTGTCAAACATTGATATACATTTTAAAGTTGTGGGACTAAATCAATTCAATTAATTAAAATGGGACTAAATTGACACTAATAAATAATATAAGGCACGAAAAATATATTTTTGCCTATAATTCTTTTTATATATTGACATTTTAAAACAGATTATCATGTGTGCTATTTTTTTGTTAACTTTTTTTAATAATATTTTAAAAACTATATTTAAGATTATTTCTACTTAACTGATGGTATAGAAAAATTTACATTGATAGTATAAAAAAAACTGTATAAATATTTTATTTATATTACAAGGGAACCGCATTTTGACACTTGTTTTTTTTTTAAGTAGTTAAAAATATTTAATGATAATGAAAAATCTCAGTTATTATCATGACGGGAAAAATTTTGGTTACTAATAAGGTAAATATAAATTCTCACAATAAGTTTTTTTTTTTGGGTTAAAAACTCCTACATTAATTTAGTTAGGAAGTAACACTGAGGACTCCAGTCACTCTGCGTACAGTATTTTGATTAGCAAAAAAGCAAGAAAATGTCCATTTGGAGGGTACATGAACTAAATGCTATATGAAACAAGAGTTTTGCATTTTTTTTTTGTTTTCCCACTATTGCTAACATGTAATTTGGACCTCCAAATATATTTTTTGTAAAAAGATTGTTCCTTTTTTTTTTCTTTTCAAAAGTCGAACTATACAAAAAAAAAAGAGAGAAAAATAATTATTTAGTGTGTTATTAATTTAATTTAAGTTAAAGAAGTAATAATTTATTTTTACTAGCTTCTTCTTGAGAAAAAAATTTGAAAAATAAAAAGATTATTTATCTGAAGTTAAATGTTAACATATTCACATACCATAGAACCATTAAGATCAATTTAATTGTGAGAATTGAAATAGAATGCAGAAAATTTTAAATTCAAAATTTAGTATTGACTTTATACTTTCGATGGATAAAAAAATGTGGGCATAACATAAGTGACCAATAAATTTTAAAGTACAGGTCATTACATCTTGAATTTTATCCCACAAAATTATAGAACTGTTTCATCATTTAAAGTTCAAACAAATTATTCGCTACCGTCCTTTTCGTAGCAGTCTTTATGTCATTTTCTATTCTGAGCACAGAATCTTTACATTCATCCATAATCTGTATACTGAAATGATGTTAGCATTTGGTTTTTGTTTTATTTCCTTTGGCATCTACTGTTGAGCAGACAGATCGTTATTGTTCAGGTGAAAATCACTAATCAGTCATGCCATGCCACACATATGCACCATGAAATTTAACTTCAAATTTATCACCCCAAGAGTTTTAAGCAAGAACTATTATGGCAAGCAAACTATTCAAACATTAAATTTTGTCATATATAAATAGTTCAAGCATGGCCATCCCATGTTTAAAAAAGAATTCATTTTACATTGACTACACATTACAAGAATGTGACGACAAATAATTACCTCCTTGCAATGGCATTTGATTTCAACTTTGGTTTTGATTCAAACAAATAATGCATTAGAGCTTTATTATCGGCTTCGATAAAGCCAGAGCTCATTCTCTGTCACACCAATGTGCATTGAAGCACAAGAAGACACGCATTACGCAACTCAATTGCGCGTTTTGCCAACCTCACATCTCCATTAACTATGCAAGCTCCAAGCAAAGTCCTTCAATAACTGCATTAGGTTCAATCTTCATCCAGGCTTTGAATTCAAATCCCGAGATTTATGAGTTTTTACATGGATTGCTTCATACTCCATATGATATGGATACGTTGCACGCACAAACATCTTAACAGCCCCAAAGATCAAATATATCTCCACCCCATCATGTTCACTCCCCTAGAAACAAATTGACCTTTGTGTGAATATGCCAAAACTAGTTTTCTTCTGCAAGCTCGAAGTTTCTTATTGTGGTTATCCCAATGGAGTTGGATCATGGGCGTAGACCATTTTTAAATTCACCTACTTATTGGTGTTAATATACCAAAACTGAATAAATGATATTTCCATAATTGATCAACATCCATGTTATCAATCATTTAACACGTGATGATCATCAGCTATATGCCTCAACAAAGCAGGAGCCACGATTTTTGGTCACACCATTGTCATCCATTAACTTCCTTACCTTCTCAGCCCCACCCCACTCACCTTGTGAAGCATATGTGTTTGACAGCAACACATAGTCACCACTGTGGTCAATTCTCATTCTAAGCAGCTGCTCATTTGCTCGTTTTGCCAACTCCACATCTCCATGAACTTTGCAAGCTCCAAGAAAACTCCTCCAAACAATCGCATTAGGTTCAATCTTCATGGAAGCTATAAAATCAAACGCTTCCTTTAAAAGTCCAGCACGCCCTAGCATGTCCACCACACACCCACAATGCCTAATGTTTGGCTCAATCTTGTACTTACTTCTCATAAGATGAAAATAACGATTACCCTCATCAACATTCCCAGCATGACTACAGGCTGCCAAAACAGCAATAAAAGTGATCTCATCTGGACAAACCTTGGTCCTCTGCATTTCCCTGAACAGATCAAGTGACTCTTCAGCATGGCCATGAAAGGCCAACCCCCAAATGACCGAGTTCCACGAGATGACATCTTTATCTCTTATCAACCAAAACACATGAATTGCTTTACTGATATTTCCACACTTGGCATACATATCAACAAGAGCATTCCCCAACACTGTGCTCAACTTCCCCTTGCTCATCTCCATGATCTTGTCATGCACCTTCTCACCACTCTCCAAATCCCCCAAATCAGCACAAGCAGACAACAAGCTCAACATTGTCACCTCATCAGGGCACTCTCCAACTCCACACATGTCATCAAACAACCCCAATGCCTCCCGGTTCAACCCCCGAAGCACATAACCGCCGATCACCGTATTCCAACTAACAACATCCCTCACAGGAGCCTCTTCAAAAAGCCTCCTAGCACTTTCTATCTCCCCGTGCTTTGCGTACCCCGTGATCATCACATTCCAAGCAACCAAATCTCTCTCCGGCATTTCATCAAACAGTTTCCGCGCAACACTCAAATCCCCTCTTTGGGCATACCCCGCAATGAGTGCAGACCAAGCAACCACATCGCCCTTATCCGAATCATCAAAAATCTCAGTTGCAACCTTCAAGTCTCCACATTTAGCATGAAAAACCAAAAGGGAGTTACTCACAACCACATTTGAACCGAACCCAAGCCTCAAAACGCGGCCATGAACAGTAGAACCGGTGTTGACCCATAAAAGCTTGGTGCAAGCCTTGAGAACAAAGGGGAAAGTGAAGTTATCAGGCTTCACGGAACGCTGGTCCATCTGGGCGTACAGTGCAACCGCGTGCACGGGATCGGGGCTCTGACATGAGCCTCTGATGATGGTGTTCCACATGAAGGTGTCTGGTTGGGGAATTTGAGCGAACATTTGGAGTGCGTATTGTGTCACGGCGGTTGTGGCGGCGGGACCCACCATTGACATGGCGGCGGCGAGAACGAGTTTTCGGAGGAAACCAACGTTCGAATTGTAACCGTTAACGATCATTAAAGCGCGAATTTGTTTGAGGGTTCTAACATTGCTAACGGTGCTGGTGCTTCTATTTTTTCTGATCATGTTTCCAAACTAATGTTTCTCCACAATTATTATTTGAAGAATACTTATAATGTTTTCTCACCTGTTTAATTTTGTTCTTAATTGTTGCCACTCGCGTTTATGTTTGAAGAATGCATACTGAATTTAAGACTCTGCTTGGTACAAGAGAATCAAAAATATTTTTAACTATATATAAAATAATTTAATTTCATATATTTTTATTCTAAATCTTTATGTTACAATTATTTATTTTAATACAAGTATATGTTATAAAATTATTTTTGTAATATAAATATGTTTGAAATTATTTATTAATATTTATTTAAAATTCTACATTTTAATAAATATTTAGTGATGCGTGTATTGAAAACATGTGGGTTCAAAATCAAATGCCATATTTGTATGTGTTTGAGTTCTTTTAGTTGTATCTATGTGCAATACTATAACTATATATTTTTTTTAATAATAATGTGTATATTTTAATTTTATATTTTTATTAAGCAATGCCTTTTTCAGTTGTGATATATCACAATCTTCCTTTTTGGAAGAACCTCGTGTGCAAACCAAGAAGGGAAATATTATTGCCTTTCATAACTTGGATGTGGACACTTGTTCCTTTTTTTAAGCCTTTGGTTTGGTATGTAGGAGAGTTCAAGCTTGGTGGAAAGAGAAAAATGAAGTTTTTGAAGATGGATTGAAGAAGTTGTATGATGATAAGAAGGCGCTAGAATTATCATGTTATTTCAATTAGAAATGAGAAAATTGGTATTTTTGTTGAACATCTTAAAGTGCAAGAAGCTGTTATTATATATGAATTTTTTTAACTAATATCTATAAAAGAGAAGCTAGTGAAGTATGAGTTTGTAAGTATTAGTAAGGATGAATGTTGATGTGGAGGGTGGAGTAGAGGTACATCATGATGTAGGTAGGTTATGTGTGATGACTTTAACAACATGACGATTCTTTTATTCCAGGTAGACTTGAGGACGGTGAAGAAGGTAATGAGGTGGATGGTTTTTATGAAGTAGAATTTGAGAATGAGTAATTATTTGATTGATATTGATGCTTTAGATGATGATGAATAACAACACTTCCCTCTTTTTTCCTGTGCCACAACCAACTTCGCATTTCATCAACATTTAAGGATGACAAGTTAAAGAAACAAAGCATAAAAAATAGTTAATATAATGATAAAATCAAATTAAATCTTTTTTTTTTCAGCAATCAAATTAAATCTTATATGCTAATGTAATCCACAGCAGATCAACATATAGTTAAGGTGATACGATTTTAAGAATAATATAAATGTGTATGTTTTGTTATATAAAACTTTAATTTTGATTGAAGAATAACGATTGCGCTTAAAGAAGTGTATTTAAGTTTTGTCCTTTATTTTATTTCTCCTACATTTATAATATGAATTCCTTGCTTTTAATCTCTTAATTGTTATTAGTTTTTAAAAATTATTAGTTTTTTTCTTATATTTTAGTTCATTTTCAACTTATTTTTCTATTACTAACGAGTATTTTTCCCTTTTCATGTAATTTTTATGTTTTTATTTTAATATATAATAATGATTTTTTTTTTTAATAAATCGTCCTCACTAATTTAAGATCCTAAATTTGTTGCTTAGAGCACCTCCAACGGAGGGTGCGTAATGGGTTCCTTAAGGTTAAGCAACCTGTCAAATAATATCAAATAGACACTAATTATCATAATTCACAACTAATATGTACAAAATTTAGTCAATGATATAAATGTATAATTACATAAATTATTTGACAGCTCTACTCGGTGGTGGGTAAGGGATTTTATTGTAATTTTTTGTATTTCTTTTTATTATGTAATTTCTCTTTATTATGTAATTTTTTTTATTATTGTAATTTTTGGTATTTCGTTTTATTAATAAATTTATTTTTATTATTGTAATTTTTTGTATTTTTTTATTATGTAATTTCTTTTTATTATTAAAATTTTTGTTATATTTTTTATTATGTAATTTTTATTATTATTGAAATATGAGTTGTAAAAAAATTGAGGTGTCAAAAAATGTAATATGAGTTGTAAAAAAGTTGAGGTGCTTATAAACAATTGCCATTGGAGCAAAAGTTGTAAAAATATAGTATGAGTTGCTTATAAGTGACGTGACAGAGTGGGACCCATTTAAAGTGGTTGGGAGTTGCTTATAAGCAACTCCCACTAGAGATGCTCTTATATAATTCTATATGTGTAGGGGTGAAAAACGGGTCAACATTACCCATTTTTGCCTACCTTGGTTGATTAAAGCAAATTATAAATCTTGGTCTGTTTCACTTAAAGATGTATTAGCGACGTCAATTTTTTTTTTAATAAATATTTTACCATAAATTTAAATTAACAAATTTAATTATTTTTCTATAGCAATTGACAAATTTAATTAAAGTACTCATAACATAAATTTGTCCTTCAACTTTAAGACTACAACATAAAAATAATAAATTATAAATTATTAAAATTATTTTTCTCAATCAAAATTACTATTAATAGTCTATCAACAAAATAAAATTATATAATCCTAAAAAAACTACAACATAAGTACTAATAATCAATAATAATAAAATTAAGTCTCAACACAAAGTGATATACACTATAAGTTGTAAATAAATAAAAAGTAATATTTAATTAAATAGACTAGTGGGTCAACTTATCTTAACTTGTCATTTGGATTAACAAATTGATAAGACAAGCAAAAATGTCTATCTTGACTTGTTAATATTTAGCAAGTTGATAGGATGGTTTGCAAGTCATGATTCACTTTGTCACCTCTATATACATATTTATAACATCAATATTTTTTTAAAAAATTGACTTCTCTAAAGAAAAAATTATTTTAAAAAATAAAGTGTAATAATAATTATTAATTAAAAACTAATAATAAAAAATTATCATAAAATCAAATCTATATATACTAAAATCTAAAATTAATTATAATATTCACTATTAATTTTGTAATCGATAGTTATTATGACAGTATGCGATGTAAAATCTCTTCGTTTCACAAGAATATATAACTCTTTTTCTTTTCCAGTTGGGAAATAACCATTTGCTAATAAGGATGACACGTCATTGGTTAACAAAAAAAAAAGTTAAATGGCGGGACTAAACACGAAAACAAAATTACGATACACTACAACGGATCAACGACTTTACACGAAGGCTAAAAGCAAAATTAATAAACCTACATAAAAATATGGGCTTCTCGAATTTACCATGCGACTATCATCTTCTAATGTAATTATAATTTGGTAGATATTATTATTTAAGACCAGGGATGACAAAATTATCTACACTCGCGGGTGTTTATGGATAAAATTCGCTATAAATAATAAATAGATATGTTAATTGAGTACTCACGAATAATAAGAATAAATAATTTTTTACCCATTTATAAACAGGGCGATGACGAGTATGATGATATTCATACTCGCAAGTACCCGTTTAATAATATTTCTTAAATATCATAATTATACTTGTACCATATAACCCTACAACTACACTCTCTCATCTATGTGATATGAGATTTTCACTTACTTGTAAGATTGATGTATTTTAAGTTATTGATTATCTTGCATTTTTATTATTATTTCAACAAAACTAATGTTAAATACAAGTTCAAAATTAACATTAATTGAATTTTTATTTTTAATATTTCAATGACATTTAATATAAACTTAAAATTAATTGCAATATAATTTTTTAATTTCTTAAAAAATTTATAAATATCCATGGATATTCATGGGTATTCAAAAAATTCATGGATACCTATTTAATAGATATCCGCGCGGATATGGGGTGGGTATGACACCAATTTTCATCCAGCGGGACAGAGACGAATTTATTATTATCTACCGCCATGGAGCCCCATTGCCATCCTTATTTAGAATTGTTAAAATGTCAATTCGATTTATTCTCATCCACCATGTATTAGATAATAGGTGGGTCAATCCAAACCTAACTCATCTTTAAGTGACTTAAAAAAAAAACCTGTTTTGGTCTACTATGGATTAGTGGGTTAAACGGATTGGATCACTTAAATTACATATTATAATATTATATTTTAAAATTTAACTATATTAACAAATAGGATAAATAAAATGTAAAAAAAAATATCATCCATAACCAACTTAATTAATATATAAAATCAAAGTTGTTTGCATTAAAAATCGATAAATAATATCAAATTGACACTAATTATCATAATTCACAACTAATATGTACAAAATTTAGTCAATGATATAAATGTATAATCACAAAAAATAACATTTGGGAACCTAAAAAATAGAATAAAATGATAAAAAAAAAATGTAATATGAGTTGTAAAAAAGTTGAGGTGCTTATAAACAATTGCCATTGGAGCAAAAGTTGTAAAAATATAGTATGAGTTGCTTATAAGTGACGTGACAGAGTGGGACCCATTTAAAGTGGTTGGGAGTTGCTTATAAGCAACTCCCACTAGAGATGCTCTTATATAATTCTATATGTGTAGGGGTGAAAAACGGGTCAACATTACCCATTTTTGCCTACCTTGGTTGATTAAAGCAAATTATAAATCTTGGTCTGTTTCACTTAAAGATGTATTAGCGACGTCAATTTTTTTTTTAATAAATATTTTACCATAAATTTAAATTAACAAATTTAATTATTTTTCTATAGCAATTGACAAATTTAATTAAAGTACTCATAACATAAATTTGTCCTTCAACTTTAAGACTACAACATAAAAATAATAAATTATAAATTATTAAAATTATTTTTCTCAATCAAAATTACTATTAATAGTCTATCAACAAAATAAAATTATATAATCCTAAAAAAACTACAACATAAGTACTAATAATCAATAATAATAAAATTAAGTCTCAACACAAAGTGATATACACTATAAGTTGTAAATAAATAAAAAGTAATATTTAATTAAATAGACTAGTGGGTCAACTTATCTTAACTTGTCATTTGGATTAACAAATTGATAAGACAAGCAAAAATGTCTATCTTGACTTGTTAATATTTAGCAAGTTGATAGGATGGTTTGCAAGTCATGATTCACTTTGTCACCTCTATATACATATTTATAACA